TTTATTATCTTGAGCATCTGGTAAGTTAGGGAAGTGTAGTTGACCAGTGTATGAACTTTAACCCCTTCACTGCCCGTGGGAAATGCCAAATTTTTCTAAAATGTGAACGATGAACAATTAGACCACGTATAATATATCATTTTGAAGGTATTTTCAGAGGTATGCAATAAATGACACCAGCAGTTGTGAAGGAGGAAACGGAAAGACTGAGAAGTGCCTTAAGTGAAAAATAAAAAACGTTGAAATTTTTCGTTTGCCTCGTACATATAGGGTATACCACTAAACTATAGCTTAAACTCAGAAGCTCTCAGAGCATTGATTGTTATAAGATATTACCTTGACAAAACCGTAAAAAGACAAAAAGTTCCAAAGGTTGCAGGAGTAGTAAACCAAGTCTTACAATGAAGAGGGCTATGATTTTATGCATTTTAATGATCTTTTAGTTGTGAACATTTCAGAAAGAAGATAAAATATTGAGCATGTAACGGCATCTCGTGACATATGGCTTTCCCAGGCATTAAAGGGTAAGGGGAAGCTAACCCAGTGCTTAAAACAAATAAACACTTGCTATACAATTACCTGAATCGGATGAATACTGCCTGGTAAGGGCTGGGGCGTTTTGAATTGCTGGAGCTATGAGGGTATTCTCAGAAGAAATCAGGGCACCTATAAAAAGAGGAAAGTACAAGTTTGATATTTGAGTGCAGAAAAGTCTTCTTTGATGTCCTTAAGGCAGATATTGTGTGACCCAGCCATACACTTGCTTCAGAAATTATGAAATTCAACCTATGTATATATGGAAGATTTCATGCTGCACCACTGTGCACTGTGTTCTTGGGCAAGACACTTCACTCTCAGAGCTTCTCTCCACACAAGAAGTATAAACTGTAACAGTTGCCCAAAAAGACTGTCAGGGGAACCTTATGACATGTTAGTGGGAGGGGGAAGGTGGATAACCTGAGCCTGACTTGAATGATAACCCCATCCCTGGGAAATAGCAATTATAGTTCTGGTTGCCTCATGCTACAAAACCACAATAGGCTCTGGCTTAATTGCTTCACATCCTATTTCCTACTGCCAATGGATTGGATACCACCACTGAATTGACATAAAATACTTCCATTAGGCATGTCAAATTTTGCTTGTTACCCACAACTAATGGTAATTTTATTGTGAGGCTGAGCTGCATGTAACTTTATCACTGTAACAGTACCTGAGATCATACTATGAGGCGTAAGAGAAATGTTTCTGCGGGGGACATAATTTTTTTGTGAATTAACACTTGAAGCCCAGCTGGAGTGTTCATTAGCATCTCCCACAGTATCCAATTGTCTTCTTGCTCCTGCTGAGTTGCTTGTGTCAAATAATTCTCCTCTGGATGCTGTTCATTAAAATGGAAATTTTCAATTTAAATCAATATGTCCACAATTTTTGGGGTGTGTTTGCAAAGTAGACAAGGCGCATACAAATAATTATTATTATATAGTATATTATTTAAAATGTGACTGTACTCCCATGGGTGATAAAAAGGTTGAAAACAAACCTATCTTTGAATCAGGTTGTATTTCCACTGGCACTGCCTTCCTTTTCCACCCCTGGTAGATGTAGCGTGCAATAATAACCACAGCGATGTACACAACATAAAGTGCTATGAAACCTTTTTAATAAGGGAGAGATTACAATTGAGTGAAGCTAGAGTAAATCTCTTTGAGCTCTTTTACTCCTAGAAGTGATCAACAAGTAACTTCTCCCCATGATATCAATATAGTTTTCAGCAAACTGGTGGTGAGAATACTCAAACTTGTCTGGTGGAGGTTTTTATTTGGTCATTCTAAAACTATATTCTCGTAACCATTTTACGCTGCCAGAGGGGTGAATTAACAATTAGATCTTGAGAGTGAACATATTACAAATGGGTTTTCAATGACTCATTATCATTAGGCAGTATCACAGAATAACTCCTTTGCATTTCCAAAATTAAATGTAATGTTTTTCTTTTTTAACTGATGCAGAGGTAGATAAACTGGGTTAGATTGCTGTTAGTTCAAGAGTTTCTTTAAGATGGTGAAATAACCATTAGCCATTGGCCACAAAGAATAAATGAAAACAACAGGAACTACAATGCCTGAGATACAACAGTCTTGAAAAATCCCACCACAACAAAAATCCTACTTTTTGAGTATACAGCTAACATCAGTATTTTCCCTAAATTTGGTTAGAAAATTTAGAGCAATTTCTTTTTAACTTAAAAGGTTTTCACCTTTGATAAAACAGATTTAAAGTTTAAAAAACTTTGTAAGACAATAAAACAAGCAGTAAAAATGACATGATCATTATTTCATGTTCAGTTATTAATAATACTTATCTTGGAGCTTTCACCATATCTTTAAGTTAATGATATTTTACCTATTGCCACTGCCATTGTAATTTCTTGCCTGTACAAGGTAATAAAAGCCCATGACACAGCACCCAAGTAGAATAATACGTCCCTGGTAAAAGGACGGTTTGTCAGGGTAAGGTCATTTGAGATAAATGATATTACCCCAACAACCACTGTTGTTACAAAAATACCAGCACCTGAACAAATAAGATCAATAGAAAAAGTTACAGATATGTAATTCAGTGTCTCCTTTCAGATCTGATTTACTTACATTTGATTGAGCTTTAAAAGAAAACTCTCATCTTGCGGTTTAAAAGAATACTTTTAACTCTACCCATGACTTCACTCATATTGATCAAAGATTTAACTTTTTCAACTATCGCCAAGGGACTAATTTTTTTTTTCTTTTTTGGGACAGTCCATATCAACTGAATATACTTGATTGGATAAAACAGTATCTGGATTAAACCTGCACCATAAGCATGTACTATTACATTATTTTAAAATACAGCTGTAGATTCTTGCATCCTTTTGGTGTTGAGCAAAACAATCGATGGTACACTGCATATGCTGCAGTTTAAAATTAATTCAGATTTTAATATCATCTAAAACTTGTTCAATTTGCTTTTTCCTTGTGTAAAGACATTGGTAGTACAGCCTGGACAAAGGTATATTCAAATCAAGGGTCATCCTTGGGTTGGATTTGTGCTAAAGATTTTGTGCAGCTTACCAAAGAGGGCTTGTATCACAAGCTGTACTCCACTTTGATCTCTGTTCTGAGTGAAACCTGCCAGAGAACTAAAGATGTCAGG